TATAAATTGGAAGAGAATTAAAACCAGAACTATTAGGATGATAGTTGCAGTAATCCAGGTATTAGTTGATGAACCATTGAACTAGAATAGAGCAGTGGAAAGAAACAAAAAGAACTAATCTAAGAGTAATTAAAGAAATAATCTGCAATCGATTATTATTTATTTTTATTTTTGGCTGTACTGGGTTTGAACTCAGGGCCTTCATTGTTTGCTAGGCAGGCACTACCACTTGAGCCATAACCTCCAGCCCTGAGATAGTCATTTAAGGAGAAATATGATTTGAGCCAGCACACACAAAAAAAGTTAAAGAAACCCTTTGTTAACAAATTTGCCTGGTGGGGTTTTGCATATCTGTAATCCCAGCTACACAGGAAACACAATGATTATGTCTTAAGCCAACCTGGAGGCAAAAATGGCAGTCCCTATCAGGAAAAATATCTAAAGTAAAAAAAGGGACGGAGGTGTGGCTCAAGCAGCTTGTCAGTTGTGAGCTGTGATTCAAAATCTAGCACTGTCAAAAATTTTTAAAGTAAAATAAAGCAGAAGAAGCAAAGAATCCCTAAATTGGAACTTAAACAACTAACCTTACCCTTTTAGCTATGTGAAGAGGGCAAGCTGGTAGGAATGGGGAAGGAGCAAAAGAAATAAATTTATATTTAATGGTATAATATCAGCGAGTTAGCGACTGTAATAGTAAAAAATGGGCTACTAATAATTGCATCAGTACAACAGGGGAAGTTGAGACTACCTTGAACTGAACTTGTATACATGTCAGAATCCATGTTGAGTTTTAGGTCACTGAGAAACAAATGGTGTGTTTCACAGCAGTTAACTATAGAAGGAGGGAGTTGGAAATGAACGTTCTATACTAAGCCCCAAATGTGTTAGAGGAGTAATAATAGAAGAGAAAACAAAAATTAAAGGCTAGGTCTGTTGCATGTTATAAAGAGTAACTCTTATTCCTCTATTCATGAACCTTATTTTTAAGGGAAATGAATAAAAATCTAAGGTTTTTAGGTACTTAATAACTGTTCTTCTAGTCTAAGTGGCTCTTGTATTAAATTAAGAAAATCTTCATTTGAGACTTCAGTTAAAAACTCTACGTTTTTTTGTCAATATTTGTCTGCATACATTTAAAATTCTGGAATCCCTAAGTTTGACTGTGGACCTCAGTTTAAGATCCTTTGAATATGATTAAGAGTATTATTTAACTATGCTATTTAGAATATGTTGCAATAGTAGGCACTTCTAAATATTCAGTTTGCATTTTCCAAGAAATTGAATCCTTTCTTAATATGACTACATACCCCTTTCATATTTGCAAAGTATTTGAAGTTTAAAAAATACTTCTGGCAGTGATCTACTACTGGAGCCACACCCTTCACCTCAAAAAATACTTGTGAAGAAACATGGCTGTAAAAAAGTTAAGATGATGCAATATTTTAGATATAACACTTGGTGCATGTAAAGATCACACTTCTACAATGCAAATTTACTGTATTTTACTTCAAAATATTCTTATTGTTTGTCATCAGGCTGACCTTTCCTTGATAACAAACAAAGTTTAGGAGGACAAAAAGAAATATTAAAGTGTAGATGAAAGCATGGTCTATAAATTGGGGAAATATAGTTCAATTTATATTATGAGAGTCCCAAGATACACATTTGTATCTGACGGTCATTCTAAATTTACGGTGTTCTATCAATGCAGGCTATTTACACTACAATAATAAATCCTATAACTGGAAGATTGTCTCACTGTTACATTCCATTGCAGCGTTGATAGAGCAGGTCTGCTTATTTATAGTTCTAGAGCCAATCAACTGAAACACAACCACTTGAACATTATCAATCACTGCCAGAAAAGAAAAAATAGCGTTTCATACCTTCATAAACACTTAGTCAGAAAAGACATGTCCCTTTCCTCCATAACTTTTTGGGCTCAACCACTGAGAGAAAGAAAATGTAATCGTCATGGTGGCAAGCAGAGAGCTAAGCATATTTGCCATTCAGTATTTTAACTGCAGTTACCTACATGATTTTTTTTTCCCTTTCTGGAGATTAATTTTTTCACTTTTATTGTTCCACTAAAGAAAAGAACTAACACATTTCTCTAGTTTTTCTTTTCTTTTTTTGTTTTTTTTGAGACAGGGAATTTTCTGCCTTTATCTCATGATACTTCTACCTCAGCCTGCAGAGCTCTGGGATTACAAGTCATGTATCTGGCTTTGAGAGCTTTTTGGAGGTTCTAGCAGGGGAGCGCAGCTGCTCCTATACCCTGACTGAAGAACGGTCCTCCTCTATCTGAAAATGGTCATCCTCTTCAACCTAGCACATGGAATGGTGAGGAGGAAGGGGACACCCACCTAGCCAGCCAGATCAGAGGAATCAACCCTGGCGATCATGGTCACAGATGTCTCAGCCAGATCCCCTCACATCCCGTGCATCTGGCTTTTTATTTGTCAACATAGATTAAATTACTAAGCGTGTAGCAGGGTAAAAAAATACTCGTGTAAATCTATTTGGAAAATCTACCAAATTGACATGCTTTTTCTTTCTTAGGGATCAGCTGATCCACTACAGTGCCTTCCATCTGACCTACAACATGGTTTTTGAACTTACTACGTGTAGAAGAAATTAATCCTGAGTACATGCTGGAAAAATCTTTCTACCAGTTCAGCATTATAGAGCCATTCCAGGAGTAGTAGAGAGTAAGTGTAAATTACCATATAGCCTAAACAACAGATGGACTGCATTATTGGGTTTGGCCATTTTTTTTTTTTTTCCCCCTAGTAAGGCAAATCGTGGCCCTTACTTAAAGGGGTATAGAACTGCAGCTGATCTTCATAGAGTGGAGTATTTCAAAGTCAAGGTAAGAAGACAATGGCAAGGGCCTGGCGGAGTTGCTCATGGTAGGGCACCTGACCTACCCAACTGTGAAACCCGAGTTCAAACCCCAGACTGCAAAAAAAAAAAAAAAAACCTATAGGCAAGGCACTTTATCTTTTCTTTTTTTTTTTTTTTTTCTTACAGTACTAAGGTTTGAATTCAGGGCCTCATGCTTGCTAACAGATTCTCTCCTGCTTTGAAACACACCTCCATCCCTTTTTACTCTGATTATTTTGGAGATAAATTCTTGCTTTCTGCCCAGCTGTGATTATTTAAATACAGAATTACCATATGACCCAGCAAGAACTTCATATCTGGGTAGATACCCAAAATAATTGAAAACCTGTTTAAACAAAAGCTTGTACATGGATGCCTATAGTAACATCATGAACAATAGCCAGAGTGGAAACAGTCCCAATTTTATCAACTGTTAAATGTTAAAACAAATTGATCTGTCCATGGAGTGGACTTATTCAGACATAAGTAATGAAGTATATTGATACATACTATAATATGAATAAACTTTGAAAACATTATATTAGTAAAGGAAGCCAGACATAAAAGCCACATGTTATATGATTCAAAATATGTGAAATAAATAGAACTGCAAATTCAAAAAGACAAACCATAGCGAAAGATTGACAGAAACAGGAGATAAATATATTTGTTTAATTGGTATGGAGTTTCTTTTTGGCATGCTGAAAAAGCTCTGAACTAGAGAAAGGTGATATGTATATTGTCAATGTACTAAATATCATAAAATGGTAAATTTTCTGTGAAGGTGTATTTACCATGACAAAAATAAGTTGTAACAATGAGTTGGAGGTATAATGGAATAATGGAAGAGGGCTCATGAGAAACAAACTTCAGGCAGGGAGTGGAATCATAGATAATTAGGTTAGCTAGGAGGACAGCTACTATAGGAAGAAGCAGAGAAGTTGAATCTAATAGAAAAGGGATCAACTAGACATCATGCCTTACACTCGTCTCTGAATAATCTTTTTCTTAAAACTTTTCGTATAATTCACAAAACTTTGTTCTCTATAACCATGGCAGAAAAAAATAGATGCCTTGGTTGTAAATTATTTAAGCTTGTTATTTTTTCATATCATAAATGTGTTTTGTTACAGAGGTAAAGAACTCAGAAGAACAGTATAACAAATATAATTCCCAATGAAGAAAGTGTAGTCATCTATTACAAGATTAGACAACAGCTTGCCAAACTGGGTAAAGAAATTGAAGAATATATTCATAAACCTAAATATTGCTTACCATTTCTACAACCAGGTCGTTTGGTAAAGGTATGTCATTGTTTCTTTATAAAAGAACTCGAATATTTCAGTATTTTAAAATATTTTGGATAAAGGACTCTTGTATTTTCTTTATCTTGGGAAAGTGTATCCTGCTGCAGTAATTAATCTTCATTAGTTATATTGTCTTACCTGTTTCATATGGCATTGCTTTTAGGGCTTATATGAAGGCCTGTTAAACACATTCACAGGAAATCAATGCAAGTCAGCTCCCTGTATAGCTATTCCTTATCTCAACTAGCAAAAAACCCTTGGTCCTTCCTATTATGCTTATACTCTCTTTTCAACAACAAATTAGAGATAAGGGCAAAATAGTTTCTGTCAGGTAGCAAGGGGGTGGAGGGGGAAGGAGGGGGTGGGGGGAGGGAAGGGAGGAGAAATGACCCAAACATTGTATGCACATATGAATAAAATAAAAATTAAAAAAATAAAAAATAAAGGCCTGTTAAAAACTGCTTTTCATATGGGTAAATATAAATTGAAATAGTTTTGAACTTGTCATAACATATTTCCAAGTATGAAATCAGTTTTAGGTCTTAAATTACTTAAATATGAAAGACTTAAAATATTTTCAGAACAAATGCACTATCATTTTTAGCATGTGCTTGCCAATTGAGATTGCTGTTATTGCTGTTCTAGGACCTATGAAATCTGTTGTTATTTTTTTCTGTAGTGTTAGTATTTCTTTCCTTAAATTTAGCAGTGATCTTTAAAACAATATTAGGACAATTCAAATGTCTCATGAGCTTATAATGTATGTATGTATAGAGGTTATGATTGCCTTTTACATATGAACATTAATTTTTTTATTTTATTTTCAGGTAAAGAATGAAGGAGATGACTTTGGTTGGGGAGTAGTGGTGAATTTCTCAAAAAAGTCAAATGTTAAGGTAAACCGTTGGCCTTAAGTAAAATTACATACATATTTTTATGTTTTTTTCAGACTCATGAAGTTGGTTTAAGTAACAATAACAATACCTTAATAGAAAGAACTGATTTTTTGAACAATTGTAAATTTTTCCTTGAAGAAATACGGTTTTTTCCCAACAACATCAAAATTTTAGTTTCATGATACTTTACATTTCTCCCCTGAATTTATCAGGGTTCTTTGTTTTTATCCATTGTTGATAATTTTACTCTTTCAATTGATAATTAGAGAAAGAATCATCTCTGACATTGAAAAATAGAATTTTGCTTTAGATACATGTTAGAGACTTGAAAAGAAATTAGGAGAACTGATCAATTTTTCTTACTCTGCCTAAATGGAGGCAGTAATAAAGTTGACTTTGGTCAGTGTTTGTATAAGTTTTTGGAAAAGATTATTATTCATAAAGTCAAGCATATGATCTTGTTAATCTGTTAGAAGATTATGATACTATACCATTATTAGAATACAAAATAGAATAAAAAGCAAAAACCACATGATCATCTCAAAGTACACCTAAGAAATACTAGACAAAATTCAAAACCCTTTCAAGATAAAAACACTCAACAAACTAGGAATGTAAGAATCATCTCCTAAACCTGATGAAGGGTACATTCAATACCCCTACTACTGACATTATTCTTAATGAAAGACTGGACATTTTTCCCTAACATTAAGAAAAAGAATCTACTTTATTATTTCTAATATAGAACCACTATATTAGAGGTTCTAGCCAGGGAAACTGGGCAAGAAGATATTAAACATATCCAGATTGGAATGTGTAAAGCTCTGAGTTCAAATCCCAGTTCTGACAACAGAAAGGGGAAAAAGGAAAAGAAAGCCTCAAAGTACATAAACTGAGACCTTGAAAGCTTTTGTTGTATTTGTTGTTTGATTTAGGTTGTTTGATTTATTGATTAATCCCACTGAAGAGTTTAATAGGGATATTTAGTTCAGTAATTACTGCCATTTCAATAAATTGTCATCTATATTAGCAATTATTAATTTACAGGATTTTTTGAAATACTATCACATTCATTCTCTCATGATGCCAATTTATCATGCATAGATACAAAAAAAAAATTCCCTGTGTTCACTTGCTTGGAAAAAAGTAGCAAGCAAATAACAAAAATATAAGACAGAATTAAATAAATAATTCAGAAAAGCTATAAGAAAAGTGCCTTTAGGTCAGAGCAGCAGAAGAAATTATATCTAAGTTTTTGGAGATATCTCAGAAGGAAGAGAATTTAAAAATTTTAAATGGAACCTTGAATCATGAGAATTTCATTTAATGTATATACATTGGTGGAGGAGCATGGGTGTGCAGCAGTCCCAGAACATGTCAGGTGACAGAATAATCTTTAAAAAGTATTATAAATAATCATTAGGATTTAGGGCTTAAGTTTATTGATGCTTTATCTAAAAATTTGAAAGTAATGGCTGTGTTGAAGGCTAGTCTATTGCTTCATGGATTATGTGGGTTACTTTGGTTTAGTGGTCCATGTGTGCATGCCCACGTAATCATATTTTGGACTTGCTGAGAATTTTTGAGCTGAAGATTGAAATGATCAGAAGTTCACCTGATGAACATGCTTAAAGGATATTGGAAGGAGGTATCGCAATAGCTTCAAAGGTCCATTAAGAATACTCTAGATCTTGTTTGCCATAGCATTTTACTTTTTTTATATTTTTTTTGTCATTTTCTTAGTGGTTGTTAGGGTTTTCCATTTATATGCTAAATTATTAGCATACACTTTAGACTTATGCTGACTTATATTCAGTGATCATAGCAATTCTCTTGTGGAGCTTTTTGTTTTTGTTGGTTTCTTGTTTGTTTTTGCTTTGCAGTGCTAGGAATTCATTCTAGGGTCTTGCAAGTGCCTGTGGTATTGTTGTAATACAGATACCATCTGTAAATATCATATATTCAGTGATACATTATTGTAATTGTAGTCTTCACTTTGGTGCTGGATTTAGATCTCAGGGCCTTGTGCATGCTGAGCAGGCTCCCTACTGCTAATCTGTGACCCCATCCATTATGTGACCTTTACAGAAGTTTACAAAAGAAAAGAGAGCCATTGCATATTTATGTTGGGTTTTTTGGGGGGTTTTTTAACCTTCTTATTGTTTCTGGGTTTCTTTATTTCTTCTGGGGATTTGAGTTATCTGAAGTTACTGCTTTAGCCCAGAACAGACTTACTCCCACCCACGTTCCTTATACTGCCAAATAAACACTGCATTTTGTTGTGTTGCTCAGTGATAAAAGTCACATGTTTATAAACTGCCTCTTAAATCACTTAAGAGAAAAATACTCATTTATTTGGTCTTTTATAATTACATAATTACCTTTACCAGTGTTTTCTTATTTTGTTTTGTTTGTGTGTATTCATGTGTCTAGTGTCACTTGCCTTCAGCCTAAAGATCTTCCTTTAGTATTTCTTGGGAGGCAGTTCTTTTAGCAACAGATTTCTGTTTTTGTTTATCTGGGAATGTCTTCAATTTGTCTTCATTTTTGGAAAATAACTTTGTTAGATATAGGATTCTTAGTTAACAGTCTTGTTTTTTAATTTTTTTGGGGGGGTGGAGGGTTGTTCTTTGAATATACCAGTCCCCTGCTTTCTGGACTCCTTTGTTTCTTCTGAGAAGTTTCTGCTGTTAATATTGTTGGTGTCTATGTTGTAAGAGATGGGTTTTTTGTCTTGCTGCTTTCAGGATTTTGTCCTTATGATTTGGCTTTATGCATTTTTACTATGATACATTTATCTGTATACATTTATCTGTCTGTGTACTCCTTTGCATTTATCGTGCTTGGAGTTCAGTGAATTTCTTGGATATATTTTAAAAAAAAAAAAAAGTAATAAGTTTGGGGATTTTGTAGCTCTTATTTGAATTTTTTCCCTCTCTTTCCATTCCTTGTGGAACTCCTTATGGGATTTAAGTTGAACTTCGTTTCTTATGTTTTTATGAGGCTCAGTTCATTTATCTTCATTCTATTTGTTTTCTTTGTTCTTTGGATTTGAAAATCTTTATCTATCTGTCTTTAAGTTTGCCTAGTGTCTTTTCTACCGTTCAGATCCACTCTTGGGCCCCTGTAGTGATTTTTTGTTTGTTTCTGTTGTTGTACTTTTAAACTCTAGAATTTCCTTTTGATTTTTTTTATATAACTTCATTTAACTTATAGTTCCTATTTGACACTACGTTGTTATTATACCTTCCTTTTCTTCCTCATTATTCAGTTCTTTGAACATATTTACAATGGCTTCTTTCAAGTTTTTGTTTAACTCATCACTGAGGTCACATAGGTATTTTCTTTTGCCTGCCTTTTTTTCTGATTTAGATCATAGATCATACTTTTTTGTTTCTTTGCATATGTCATTTTCTAAATTAGAAATCAGATATTTTAGATAATGTAGTAATTCTGGGTTCCTCCTCTGTTGCAGACTGTTGTTATCATTTACTTACTGTAAATGTAGCAGTTACTGTAAATCTAGCCAATATTATGTTATTTGGGTGAAGATACTTCTGCCTCACTTGTCTCTGCATCCCCCAACCAGCATAAAAGCCTTTTTATGTTGCTCTTTGGAAGAAAGGGACATAGCCTTAGATGTGCCCATAGTCACTCTTGGATGGTGATGATTCTTGCAAGAGTCTCTGGACTGTATGTTTCTTTGGAAATATCCAGCTGTTAAGCTCCACTAGGAGGAAGGCTTTCCCAGCAGTCTTCTTAAAATCCAGGTTCAATCCTGCAAACTAGATGGACTATAATGTAGCATATCTCCAGTGATCTACAAATTACCTTTCCTTAGAGCTACCATTTTTGAGAGTTCCGTGAACTTTCCCAGGCTCCATTGCAAATGATATCAGTTCTTTGGGAAGATACTACAGCTACCTGTTTTAAGGTCTGGTTCTCCTCCTAGGCAGTATCTCTGAGCCAAAGTTTTAAAGCTGGATGTGAGGACAGTTGTTCACTTTCCTCTGATTGCTATTCCTGTTTTACGGAACTTAGGGCTTAGAAGGTACATGGATATAGTAGCTTCAGTTTTCTCTGCTTGCTTCTCCTAACAAGCCAAGGAAAAGGATAGGTGCCCTCCAGTAGTTTTAGCTTCACCGTTCTGTCTTGATGAGCTGGGATGAGTGGGAGAGTGAGTTTTGACTTGCTCTTCTTACTAAATTTTAGATTTTTCTTGAGTGGGTGTTTCCTAGAACCATTTCCAGAGACTTTAAATGCCGATTTTTCATAATAGTCTCCAGTTTTGCTGGGAAGTGGGTTTGTGGAACTCCTCACTTTGCCATGCCAGTACTGTAGTATATCTAAGATTTTATATTTCTAGGAAAAAATATTGATAATACAGTTGTATGCACACCCAGACAGTTTTTTTTTTAATTTTGCCTCTGTTGGTCCTTAATCCATTTAAAAATAATACTTGTCATGAGAGTTCTTTTAGGCAAAGATAGATTGAGGACTAGAGTGGAACTTTTTTTCTTTTAAATTGACGGCGGATCAAATTTTTCCACTGAGCTACTTGCATTGTCTGTTAACTAAAAATATGAAGTTCATTTTTATTTATTTGAATCTAGGTCAGAAAAATAATCCAAAGATTTTTGTGGCAAGTTGAGTTTGCCAGAGACAAAGAATAGACTCTGGTGAAAATATTGTGAGTCATTTTAAGGATATAAAATTTTAATTTTTAAATTTATTTATATGTTTCTTTGCATTCTACAAGTTTAGGATTAGCAAACTATGTTTAATTTGGTCAACTTCAATTTATAGCAAAAAATTTCACATTTAAAAGGAATGAAGGAACTTTAGGAGAAAGAAAGTTATGATTAGGAAATAAGAATTAAAAAATGAACAAAAATTTGAGTAATCAAAGTAAGATAACTCAATTGAAAATTTGTTTAGAACCTTAGTAACTATTTCCCTTTATTAAAGATGATGCTGACCCATCTTACAAAGTAGAGAACTAGACTAAGTTAGGTAGAAAATTTT